CACCAGATTCCCACTAATTCAATGGACCAGATCTGGTGTGACTTATTACAATAAGCAAAGGGTTTCAGATACTATTCGGAGGGAATTTGTCCACAGTTTGTCCACTTTAGAAATAACAGCAAAAAATTGCTTGATGAAGCCAAGAAAAATAACCTACACTCAAGAGAAGAGTTGTGTTCACAAGGCATTATATCAGACTTGAACAAAAAAAGTGTTTGCTGTTTACTTCTTTTGGATGTCAAAGTAAAACATGTAATCTTACTTCAACAAAATTAGTTTGGCAGGAATTTGAAATTGATGTTTATTGTATCAGCACTATTATATTTCAGTCTGCAGTGCTATATGTACAAATATATGATCCATATTTCTATAACATGGATTTTTGACTTGTTAAGAAAAGTCAACTGACTGAAAGATTTAAAAATTTGAATTCCCATCCCCAATCCATTTCACTGTGCAAGGTAATGTCACTCGAAAACTACTTGAGATTAGAAATATTTCCATAAAATGTAAGAATTACTGTATATGCTGTGTAATTTCCCCCATTTTAAGTCATTCACTGAGTTTTAACTTATGCTACAACACTTTTACATTATCTTTGATTATTTTTCTGGTTATTTTATACAAAGAAACAATTGTGTACCATTGTCTCTGCAGTTCCCCAAAAAGTAGAGTAGCTATTATTTAAGCTAGATTTTTATGTCTGATGTTTGATTTTTCTACACAAATTACTGGTGGTTAGAAAAGATCCTGAAGATGTGGTTCTCCTAGAGGTTGTTATAAATGTAAAAAACAGCTAAATCTACCAATGTTATGGAATGCCTAGGTGACAAACTATTTTTGTAATCAGGATAGCAATGGAAGGTGGGAACAGTACAAGAAATACAGTTTCAATTGGTTCTACATCTAAGAGCCTTTCACTCTTTGTTGAAATGATATCTAGCTGATGCAGTTTTGTCTGCCTCTCCAAATAGTGCATCCTCCTGCTCATCTTCAGCACAAATTTAGTAGCTGGGCATATAGGTTCCCTTTTATGGCAGGCATTTAAAGCTTTATGTAGCAGAATGCGCTGGTAGATTCACATGATGTATGACCAGACTCTAGACATACAGTAAAATCCTATATTTGGATGCTCCCTTCAGGTAAAAATGGGAAAAAATAAAACCAGCACAACTATGAGCAGGCTTGGCTTGACTGTTTCTCCTTACTAGGCCACATTTCCACTTTAGATGCTGAAATATTGTGTGTTTTGTTTTGGTTTATTTTAACTGTATGAAAACATATTCCTCCCCAGCATGCTGTCTGAAATGATAGAGACTAGAATTCTCCCATCTCATTCTCATGAAAGTGTTAGCCTAGGGCCTAGGCTTAATCGAGAGTTGTGAAACAGCAATTGTTTATGAAGTAGTCCTGGCACACCAAAGCTTTCTCTAATGTCTGTTTCACTCTGGAAATTGGTTGCTGGACTGCACTCTTCCCAAAACACAGTGCTACAGTTCTGTCTGGACTCCTGAAGAGTCTGTTGTATCCCAGTGATTTTATCCCATTCTTGGAACCCTTTCAGAATCAAAGAAGCTGTGCCTCTGGGTACAGAAACTAGAAAATATGGGGGTAAGGAGACCGTTGCACTCTTGTCCTGCTTGTGCATTTCCCAGAAGTAAAAAGTTGACTGGTGTGAGAATAGGGTGCTGGACACACCTCTGGTCTGGGCCAGCATGCTTCTTACATTTTTATATTTGTTTCTGAAATTACCGTATCTCCAAAATTTCCAAGAATTATGCTACTAATTTTGTAAATACAGTGGAATCACATCATTTTGTTTTCTCCTTATTTGTTTTAGCATAGCCAGATTGAATGCTATATGTTTGTTCATTAGTGTTTATATTCAGCCTCAACGTTATTAAATCCTTTGTTGATATGAGGTTAGCTAAAGGAATTTCGTTACAATTTGCTTTCATGGTGGAATAGCAAAGGTGCTTTCACAAAAGCCATGGGGCATGCAGTACATGCTGGTTCCTTCCAAAAAGAAAATACCCCCTTGCACATGCATAGCTATGTGTGCCTGCTTCCATAGTACAAAATGAATTATTAGAAGGCGTTCTATATATCTAACTGTGTTTAATGTGCAGAACAGGAAAAGCAGAATAGACAGTTATCAAAGGAAGTAGCTGGATATGCTTATTGAGCTTAGAATAAAGATAATATATAAAAGATGTGTCTTAAATGTAATAGGCTACATATTTTAATAACAATTAGCAAATTCCTTTAATTACTGGCCTTTTTTTCTTCACAAATGTTTCAGGTATTCTCTCAGAACAATTACCTGCCTTAATCTCTGAACATAAAACACAAGCTGCTAACCTCCAGATGTTTAGGACCATTATCATGTATCATCCCTGAGTGTTGGCTGTGCTGACTGGGACAATACAAATCATTCTGCAATCCTGAAAGACATTGGCCAAAATCCTGTTCCTTATTGTAGGAAAATTTGCAAGAGTAAGCCCATTGAATCAGTGGGGATTTACTGAATCAAGTCCTCCAAAAGTTCATTTTATTTAAATGAGCATGCATAACTGTGACTTACTTTACCATAGTAAGCTACAGTTAGAGTAGGCCCATTTGAATCAGTTGAATTTACAGTTTTGACTGGCCAAATCCCCATTGCTTTGGCCATCTAGTGCAATTTACTACCCTAAACAATAAGATTTTGATCATTGTCCTGGGGAAAGTTGAAAAAGTTGCACCTTATGTGTAGCCTGCATAATTAACTTGTAAACCACCCAGAGAGTGCTTGAAGCGCTATGGGGCGGTATATAAGCAGCACACTTTGCTTATTTTATATATAATAGGGCTTTACCCTCTCTCTCTCTCTCTCTCTCTCCCACTCTCTCTCTCTCTCTCTCTCTCTCTCTCTCTCTCTCTCTCTCTCTCTCTCTGTGTGTGTGTGTGTGTGTAAAAAATATGGCAGATCATATAACTAGATTCTGTGGAAAACCAGCACTGATTAATTATAATGTTCCTGTAAATTGATGAAAATACTGTGGCGAAATCTAGAGTGAAATAACTTCTTTTCATTTGTCTGTATTTTTGTGAGAAGTTGCAGGTTTTGTATTTGTTTTACAGTGAGATGTTTATACAGGAACCATCTTAGCGGAAATGTTCAGGGAAAGCGGAAGCTATATGAATGGTTTTGCTTGTGAAAAATAATAGTATAGAGCATTAATATGGTTAATTGAAAAGATATGAATCAACATGATCAGTTGTACCAGTTAACATAAAAGTGTCTTGACTTGGCACTCAGGGGCTTCCATTTCACTTTCTATTCAGATTTCTAATATACCTCAGTATGAAAGCTCATGTTTTATAATAATAATAACAACTCCTATTTTTTGTGTGATGCAAACATATAGAAACATATGTACTGTATTTAAGTTAGAGTTTGAAACTCAGCAACATCTAGCTTAGTGCATCCTGCTAAAACAAGTCTTTCTCCTTATCTATTTCCCTTGGGAAAATTATCTATTAAGAATATAATAATAACACATCTTGGTGTTTTTGCAGTAGGAAGTTATGGGAAAGTTACTAGCAAAAAAGTGTGGTTCATTTTTCAAGTGTGTAATGTGGATGGCATCATCAAGATGGTATTCTGAGGGCTAATGTCACCATTTAATCAATTAGTGCTTTTTGAAAAGCAAGTTAGAAGGACCCACATTTAAATCAAGATGTAGCAGTAGATGGGTTTAATACTTTGTCCCTTACTGCAATTTCAGCAGGGGACAATGTGTTGGGACCTTACACTTCTAATTAAAAATAAATAAATAAATTACATGCACACAATTGCAAAGTGTGTCAGTGACATCCCATTCAGTTTGGCCCCAAGTCAAGAGATCAGCTATTTTATTGGGTGCATGTTCAAGTGTTCAGACTGTGGCTGGTGGTAAGCCTCCTATTATAATTCTATTCTAACCAATGTCTCCTACAACAAGTGTATCCAAATCCCATGGTTTATGAGTTAGACAGAGCATAATATCTTGCCCAGGATGCCTTAACTAATTTTGTGCAGTACTACAGCTCATGGGCAGCCACTGACTGGGATTCCTGACTGAGCTGGGTCTAATCCTGAAAATAAATGCTGGGTGGCTGATGCTCTATGTTTAATACTGGCTGTGCATTAGTAACAGCAAGGGAAAGATAGCACGTTCTGAGGTACTACTGACCGCATTTTGGAAGCACTCTGAGCTGAAGAGCAGTTAAGGCAGTTTTTGTTTCTGTAATGAGTTTCCTTCAATGAAAGCATTTAGGCCTGTATTTTACTTGCGAATATAAAACCTGAAATCTTTATGTTTACCTTTTATTTTACTGTAATTATGAAGTTCAGTTGAATATAAACAAATAACTTAACAAATAATAAATAATTATGAATGTAATTGAATATAAACAAATAATCAAGTCTTCTGATCTGCACTGCACACAAAACTACAATACCTAACAGCAACAGCCTCCTGCATGTGTTGTGTTTGGTCAAGTAAGAACCAAATTATGGTAGACCTGATAGTGCTTTCAATGTAAGTGAGATATTTAAGGAGTGGTTTTACCAGTTCCAGCTCCCCTGGTGAGTTTCCATGGCTGAGTGGGGGGATTTGAACCCAGTTGTCTGTCACTCTATTCATTGCACTATATTGGGTATCATTTTAGTCTCTTGAAATCTTGTAATAGAAATGTATTAAATATGATATGTAGAAATTTAATTAATATATTGTGTTAATTGAAAGATATAAAAGGTGGTGATGGTGGTGATATTGCATGGTGGACTAATCAGAGCTTGTTAGCAATGGCATCTGAAGAAAAGCTGAGGACTGAACAGTTTGCTGTATTGGTACAATTTTGCAAAAGCTTGGAAGTGCAGTCTGCTGGTTGTACAGTTACACAAGAATGCTGAAATACATTCTGGAGGAAAAGTGAAATACCTTGCAATTATTCTCCTTTTTTTCTTATTGTAGGCAAAATTCACGGATGTCCAAGCATCAAATGAACCAAAGACCCTCAAGCATGGTCAGTGAAACATCCACTGCAGTAACTACGTCTACTGTTGATACAAAACCTAGCTCCAAGGTAACATGTGTTTTTTTCCCCTTTTCATAAAGCTGAACAATAGAAATCTGAGTTTGACCTTTGGGTAGATGATCACTGAGCCTTATTAGATTTCTATAGATAGGGCATGTCAGTCATTTTGAGGTCATGTAGTAATTCACAATCAAGAACTGAACTTGAATGTTCTTATTCTGTAATAATAATAATGATAATAATTATAGACTATCAAGTCCATCCTGATTTACAGCAATCCTTTCCATGGCTTGCTACATATAGAGTACTCAGAATGAGTTTATCATTCCCTTCTTTTTGGGGTGCTCTGAAGCTGTGTCATTTGCCTAAAGCAAACCACACAGCCTGGCTCTTCTATAATACACAGTGCAGAATCAAAATCTGATCCCCTGACTCTGCAGCCAGATGCGCCAATTCACTGAACTAACCAGACAACTTCTTGCTCTATAAGCTAGTCTTAAATATTTAGTTTGTCGAAGGCATTTTTAAAAGTAGAAGTAATTGTTTTTGCTTTAATATTTATTGACCATAAATAGTTCTTTCATCAAAATCATTAGTGGATTCTGATGTTTGGTTAAACCATTCACTTTTCTGGATGAGGATCTGCCCTCACATCAGAACAGAACCCATTATAGACAGGAAAATTCCCTGTGTTTCTAAGACGCTGTTGAGCCTAAGAGGTAAGATATAAAAAATAATGAAAATAAATGTGCTATCACATTACCTGAGATAAACATAAGTTCTTCATTGTGATCTCTGTGGCTCACAGTAAAGAGTTTTACTGTGCCTGCACAGAATATTCCAGAATCTTCTAGAATAATTTGAAGCATTATGGGAAGAGTCTATTCATTCCACTATGCATGTTAGTTGCTAGTCCCTTTACTTTTAACATGTTTTATCCATAATCAGGCAATTTCGTTTAGGCATCTCTCCATATTATCTCTGCAGAACTTCTCCATCTTGTAATCTTCTACAGTCCCAGTTTATTCAGAAGCATTGTTTTTCAAGTGCATGTGAAGATGAAATCAGAATAATTATCAAGATTTGATGATGATGATGATTTAAAACATTTTATTGTGTTTTTCCCCTACTTCTCTACATGTTGTTGCAATCAGAGGTTTATTACAGTATATACTATTTGTTTCATCTCATCCTATTCTAACTAACATAATACTGATCTATTCTATTCTAACTTAAGTAGATGTGGATTCAGTCCAGGTGGAAAGCAGTTCCCATTTGTTTTTCTCCAGTCCTGTTATTCTGTTATTTAGTGTGTCTGTCAAGATGTCCATTTCTGCCAGTTCTAGAATCTTCTCAAGAAATTCCTCCTTTGTTGGTAACTTTGTGGTCTTCCAATTGCTAGCATACAAAATTCTTGCTGCAGTTGTCAGATGTAAAATCAAATAAAACTTGTCGTCCCCCCCCCAATTGTGGGTGGTATCATGCTCAATAGAAAAACCTCTTGTGTTAAAGCAATTTTAATCCATAAATTCTTTCTGCAATTTCATGTACCATTTTCTAGAAATCCTTAGCTCTACTTCACATCCACCACATATGACAAAAAACTCCCTACTTTCTCTTCACATAGATTTATTTTTCTCTAATACTTTATATTTTTGTAGTTGTTCTCTCTTTTGCCTTGCAGCATGTTTAATAGCTATCCCTCTTACCATTACTTTCCCAGAATCCCAGCTTACTCTCATTGGTAATTCAGGGTTTTTGTTCTCCTTGGGAAAAAAAAGACATTTTTTTGAAATCTTCATTTTGAAAAAGACTAGTTTCATTCTCAATGTCGGTATTTTATTTTGTATGTTCAAGTGAAGCAAAATGGGACTATGATCAGCAAAAGTTCTTGGCCAAATATCTATAGTCTTCATCTCTTTTATCCAACTCATTGGTATCCAGCAGGCATCTATCCTAGACCATGTCTTTTGAGCATTTGAGTAGAATGTATAGTCTCTTTCTCTTAAGTGTGTTACTCTCCATGCATCTACCAGGTGAAAATCTTTTACTATGGATTACAAATTTTGGGGTAATATTGTCCTCCTTTCTCTTTTTTCTGTTTTCCTAATATTTGAGTAGTCATATCCAAATTTCTATCCAGTACAGCATTGAAATCCCCTTTATTCACCAGTTCGTTTTGTAATTCCTTGAAAAAAATTTCTTGATTTTGGTTGGTGCCTAAATATTCACTATCAATATTTTTTCTTTCCCTCTTTGGATTTCTACCATTAATATTCTTCTGTCTTGTGAAGCAAATATCAAATTGGGTTTCAGATCTTCTTTATGTATGTTGCTATCCCTCTCTTTTTTTCTTTAACATCTGCTGCAGCAAAAAACCTCCCTAATTTTGGTATTTCCAAATGTTTCAAATCTTTTTTCATATGGGTTTCTTGTATACACAAAACTTCCAGATTCAGTTTCTTGAGCTGATTATTTTTTTCCTTTTCCTGGTAAATTCAGTCCATTGGCATTAATTAGAATCAGTCTCAACTGGTTTTTAGACATTTCCTGCTTGCTTACAACCTTTCTGTTCCTCATTCTTCTTTATCAATTTAGTCTGAACTCGTGCTGTTTCTTTAGCTCTTACTGTCTCTTCAGTTTCCCTCTCCTCCTATTCCTCCTCTTCCCCCTCTTCCTCTGTTTCTTCTTTGCTTTCTTGAGCTAATTCCCAGTCTACTGATTTTCTACCTTCTTTTGTATCTTTTCTTTGGGATCCCTTCTCTTCTTTCTCCCTCTTCTTTGCTCCTCCATATCTGATCATGAAGCATCCGCTTTATGCATGGAGTTAATATACTGCCACTGTTCACAGAAATGAAATAGAATTCCTTCTGGTAGAATCCAGCAGAAACTGATCTGTTTTTTTCCTGAGAAACTCTGTTAGTTGTTTATAACTTGTCCTTTTGTTCCTGACTTACCAAGGGATATCTTTCAATATTTTATATTCTTGTCCCTTCCAGACCAACTGCTTCTCTTTTAAATTTGCCAAACTCTGGGTCCCTAAAGGAGGTCCTTAGAAACTTTACATGGATTTCTCTGGGCCTACGATTGTTTCTCGTAAAGGCAATTGAAACTCTCCAAACATTGTCCAGGTTTTGTTGTATTTCTTCAGGAACCAGTTCCAGAATGGAACTCAATAGTTCTACTGTTATCGCTCTCAAATCCTCATCCTTTTCCTCTCCTATATTTTGAAAACATAGCATGTAGGAGGCCTTCTCCATCTCCAGGTAAATCAAAGCTCGCTCCTCTTGTGTTATTTTTGACTCTTGCTCCTTTGCTTAAGCTCCACTTTAGACAGTCTGTCCTCTGCCATTAGTTTTGAGATGGCTTTCCTATTTTTCACAATTTTTTGCTGATTTTCATTCATCTGGATCCCCAAGTCTTCCACTTTTTTATCCAAAGACTGAAAGTCTTGTCTAATCTGTGGTGAATATCTGTTCAGTTGTGAAAAGAAAAAGGCTTGCATTCTTTGTTCCATCTGTTTTAGTTCTGAGTCACCTCCCATCAGCTTAGTCACACCAGTTTCAAGTTGAGGGCTGCCTTTTCTAATTTGTTTTCCTTTCTGGGTCATTCTGAATCAAGTTAAATTCATCTGTGTTCAGAGCAGAATTTAATATGTTAGTATGTAGTTCCCTATTATCTTTTATCCTTGTATCTTTCTCCCTAAAGGGACAGATAGAACATATTGAAAAGATTAGCACATTATAAACTAATCCTTCACACAAATTCAACAAACGTAACACTTCTTTTTAAGCGCTATTCCCTTTTGAACTGTGTTCCTAAGAATAAAACCAAAGACTTGCAAAGATCTAAGTTTCCAGCAGATGATGCAATTATATCATTAATGTCTAGAGCTCACACACCCAGCACTGCTATCTTCAAAGTACATCAGAGGATCAAGGTCCTAGCAGTTTCCGGTTCTGTAGTTCCTAGAGATGGCAGGAGGAGATTTATAATCTGAATCAGCTACAATTATAATCCAATTCAGCGACAATTGTAATACACCACTTGAGATGACAACAAACCAAAATACCAGAATAAACAGAGAAAGCAGGAAAGCAGATAAGACAACTTTATAATTCACTTTGTTTATGTCTCAGCTAGGACCCACACTGTATATTCCACCGACTTGTTGGCAAAGATTATGTTCCAATCAGCAAAAATACTCTTCTGCAACCCCTCCGCAGCTGTACCTTAAATCTTCCCAGAAATTATAGCTTGCAGTCCGCTACAGTCATGCTGCACTCCACTTATAGGTATAAATCTCACTGCTTGCCAGCTTTAAGATAAGCCGCAAACTTCAGTGAGAGAGAAGAGAAAAGAAAAATGCATCTGCTAAAAACTCCAAGGAAAAAAAGTGTCTCGTTCCACACTTTGCTTTCTCTTTCAAGCTTCCTCACCCCCACCACTCTGTCTTTTTTCTGCTACGTTATCTAGGGAGTGGAAGTTCTGAAACTTTACCAATCATTTTCTTCCTTGGAGGGAATCTCTTATCTTATGTTGAAACTCTGTTTGATTATTTTTAAAACAGTATAAAATATACTTATACATTTCAAAAATTTATTAGTAGTTTATAGAAAAGAATATTGTAGATTGTAAATTGATTCTGAGTGGGTATCTGAGGTTGCATAGAACAATAAAAACACATTAACTAGAAATTTAGAGTGATCACTACAATTTCGAAATAAATTTCTGGAACATTCACATTTATCATTTAAAGAAAAAGATTTTTTTTGAGAGACAGTTCTTGCACTGAGACTTTTGTGTGATGGTTTTGTGTATTTGATTATCATTGCTATCGAGGAGAAAAGATGGGTCAGGTTAAATATCAACATAGTGTCATTTTTTGTTTAGCAAAACAAAAGTTCCTTATGCTCCATGGAGGGTTTATAAAGTCTCAGTTTTAGACATTTTGTATTTCTTCATAAGCTAGCCTACTGTTCTCACATATTGTGAGGGGATTGTCTTGTCACCAGTAAGATTCAGTTTGCCCGTCTAGTCAGCTTCTGTATGTGGAATGGGAGAAAGGCACCAAGTAATATTGTAGATTGTAAATTGATTCTGAGTGGGTATCTGAGGTTGCATAGAACAATAAAAACACATTAACTAGAAATTTGGAGTGATCACTACAATTTTAAAAAATAATAATTCTGGAACATTCACATTTATCATTTAAAGAAAAAGATTTTTTTTGAGAGACAGTTCTTGCACTGAGACTTTTGTTTAAGGCAGTGAAATGTTTTGGGCAAGGCTTGTCCAGAACCATTTGCAGTTTGGTTCCAGTGTTCTGAAACTTCATAAGTATGCCTATTGAATAACTATATGACGCCTGCCCCTTTCAGTGTGCACAGGACCTGTTTTGTAGATGTGTACAGTGGCAGCTGTCTAAGAAAAGGAAAATAAAGGTTGCGCTCCCTGAAAATGTGGGAGGAGGAGGGAAATTGCTCCCTTATATCAAGAGGCCTTGGTCCAGGATCAACTTTTTCCCTCTAGCATTTTGAGAGCTTAGCCATAATCCACCTCTTATGCAAAACAGTGGAGACCACACATTGCCCCAATACAGTATTCTATAAAGCGCCAAGGTTCAGGGCTAGCCCACTTTGTTTTCGGTTGGTATGGAGGAGGCATAAAGGGTTAATATTTGGGCAGTGTCAAAAGATGAAGCACAGTTCTATTTCTTGTGCAAATTATAATTTTGCATATATTATGTAAGGTAAAGGTAAAGGTTCCCCTTGACATTTAGTCCAGTTGTGTCTGACTCTAGGGCACGGTGCTCATCTCTGTCTCCAAGCCGTAGAGCCAGCTTTTTGCATATATGGTTGCAGCTAGAGAAAGTTGAAGAGGCTGTTTATTTGGTGGGATTTTCTCAGCTTTCCTCTCACTACATTTTCCTTCCCCATGCTCAGCTGCTCCTGGGAAATCCTATAAAGTGGCACAGGTTGCAGCAACATATGGCAGGCAGTCTGTATAAGCTGTCAGGTTACAATCATCATCTGGCTTGAGAATAAAAAAAGCCAAGAGACTAAGGGGAATAAGGACTTAGACCAGTTGTTACTGTCATTTACCCTATATTATATATTTCATTGCAATACAGAGATTATAGACTGAATGAATGAATTAGTTATTCCTTAGAACTACAGGTATTAGATTACACTACGGACAGAGAAGCAGTGACTGATCATATTTCTGAAAACAGAAAGGCTTCTTCTTACCTGTTACTCAGATGTGTTTCTTGTCTTCGGCAAAACACATGGTTTCCCAGGTAGGCAAGGGGAGAAGTAAACAGAAATGTTGCAGTCTTTAGTAGCCATGTCAGGGAAAGTTTAAGATTGACATAGTTTTATATACTGCACCAAAATTGTCTGTTTAATCTATTGTAGATGGCAGTAATGAGGCCTCATATTACAAAGTTGCTTTCCAAGTGCTAGAAAATAATGTTCTTCCAGTTGTAGAATCCTTCCTGAACAGCATGAATGTGGTATTTCTTAAGGCACATGAAAAGCAAGATAGCTCTTGCAATTGGGGGGTGGGGAAGGGTGTGTCAAAATCCACAGTTGAGCAAATAGACACCCTTGCAAGAGCTGTCTTGCACAGTTGATGTTTATTATGAGTTATTATTATTGAAAGGAGTGGCTTCAGCAAACCACCATAGGAATATATTGGAGCTCAAGGAAATTTTACCTCTCAGATATTGTGTCAATGTAACTCGTAGCTTAGTCTTACAGGTAGAGAGAGTCCAACAAGGGCAGACACATAAATGGTGAGACTGTGTTGGCTGGGATAAGCACAAGATATTACTTTATATTAAATTCATTAATAGTGATTTTGATCCTGCCCTGGAAATTAAGATTCTGTTTCTATAAGTGATTGAATAATTTATTTATATTATGGCATGCAATGGTATAATGTCTGCTAGTACAACTGTATTTGTTACTCCATGCCTAAGGACAATCAGTGGCATCATAAGAGGAAACAGTTATAATGATGTTTCACCTTCATATTTTGACATATTGAAATTTTATGAAATAAATGTTTGACCATTTTTTCAGTATATTATAACAGGGAATTTGTTCTGTTACATATTGGGCAATCACTTATACGTTTTTTGCTAGCATTAAACTGAATACCACCTTAAGTGTGTCCATCTCATGTAGCATGCTTACTAATGATGTATTGTGCTTATTTTTTTTAAGGTAGTAAAGTCTGGCAATAAAATTCACAGCTTTGGGAAAAGGGAGCAGGCCATAAGGAGAAACCCTAATGTTCCTGTTGTGGTAAGAGGCTGGCTTCATAAGCAGGTCAGTGTGTAATTATCTAGTATTATTTAAATCAATTAATCAGCCTTGTTTAGTAAAGATGAGTTTTCATTTGCATATTTTGAAGCCTGATATTTGTAGGGGGTAATCAACAAACTTTGCAGGAAATAGCAAACAAAGAAACACAATTATCTTTAAATCTAAGCAATTTGCATAGTTCAAAGTTGCATAGTGCAAAGTACGTATGTGTTCTGAATGAGTATCATTATAGCCAGTTTTATTGGGACAGGTTACACAGTAGCCCTGAATGTCATGTGCATGTAATAAGCAGAAGCATGTTGGCTCTCTGGATAGAAAAAAATGGTGTATATCATTGTGTCATACAGTTTTGAATTATGGATTCTGCTTGTATCAGTAGTCCACTGTAGTTGTACAAAAGGTTCTCTTTTCCAAAATATATGAAAATCATCAAATTTTTATATATCTCAGGCTATAGTTACAGTGTCACACTGAACTATTTCTATACAGCACACTAACATCTGCCATCTGTACCTTAGTCATTTCTACCAAATACCAATCTCTACTTTTAATGTGCTTTCCTTCATGATAATGTACATTTCCTGTTATTCTATAAGACGTTTGAGAAAATCATGAATTTGATCTGGTGTGGGAAGGGCTCTGCCATAGCTGTGTGTAGCTCTGGGTGATCATATTTTCATACAATAAAGATAGCATATAGCCATTTCAAATTGTTTTTGTATATAGCCATGATGTTATTTATAGGGTGTCATAAATTCAAGATGACACCTATTATTATTTTTTATTCTCAGGATAGCTCTGGGATGAGACTGTGGAAAAGAAGATGGTTTGTGCTTGCAGATTATTGTTTATTTTATTACAAAGGTTAGTGAATAAAATTCTGGCTTTTAGAATCCGATGCATGTAGGAAAATACTAGAGATCAATACATTCATTTCTCATCTTTTGCACTGCTTTTCATTAATGGGGAATTTCTACCAGAGATACTTACTTAGGTTTTTTTAAATCTTTTTCCATCAGAGAACATGTGTGCATTTCATGGTATTACACGAAGAAAGTAGTTGCCATACGCAGCTCCTCTGATAAAGCAAAAATTATGATTGGATTATTGTTCTTTTGTTTTGCTTTTTGAGAACAGCTCTGGCTATCAGTAGCTTTGTACTGTCCTTGAAAAATTAACCATCACAAGGGATAGGAAAGTACAAAGGGCTTAGTCTCTCCAATGTGATATGGTGTAAAAGATTAATATTATAATTTATGTTGCTATTACTTTAATAGGATAACCAGTTGAGTGCAGTAATCAAAGTGACAGACTTGGATTCAGAAGGCCTGGGTTTGAATCCCCACTCAGCCATAGAAATTCACTGGGGGTGTGGAATCGGTAAAACCCTCCTTAAATATCTCATTTACCTTGAAAGCCTTATTAGGGTTACTATAAGTCAGTTCCACCTTGATGTTACATGACAACAAAATATTTAATACTGTAAATCATTTCTATAACATTACAGGAAGAGTTCAATATAAATAGATTCCTGAATTCCAGCTGCAGACATCAACAGAAATCTGTTACTTTCATGCCTGACTCCCAAATGATCTTGTTGGCCACTGTAGCAAACAGGATGCCTAACTAAATCAACAACCAGTAGGATTCTTCTTATGTTCCTGGAAATAACTTCTAAGTGTATTCTGCTGTGGCCAAAGAAGTGAATCCTGTAATGAGCTCTGCATGAGTTTCCCTTTCAAATGTCTTTGGAAACTTCAGCTGATGCAGACTGTTGATTGACTAGAAATAATACAAGACAATATAAGAGTGGTCTTAACCGACCAGATAGGAGGGATATAAGTAAAATAAATAAATAAATAAATATAACATATTATAACATAAATAAATATGGAAAAATATGTAATATTGTTCTTAATACGCTGAGCCCTAAAAAGCTTAATGTGGTCTGTTTCTGGGCACATAACAAGCACCTATACAAAGACCTATATGACTTGATGCCATGGTGTTCAAATACACTGTTTCCTCATATGAGCCTACAGAGATTTTAAACTCTTTGTGGGAGGCTCTTTAATTAGAGTTCATCTGTACTGCAGAGTTACTGCAGCAGTTTGATTCCACTTTAGCTACCATGGTTCTATCCTGAGACCCACAGTTTGGTAAGTTACTTAGAGAGCTTTTGCCCTCCCATGAAATACAACAGAGAATTCATAAGTACTTTACCATACCACAGAACCCAATATTCCATGGGATGGCTCCATGGCAATTAAAAAGTAATCAAGCTGCTATAACCATGGTAGTATACATAAACCCTTTGTCTCATAACTCTTGGAGGCACCGTTGGTGGGGATGTAAGAAATGTATTTCCTGATTGCACTCTAGAATTGCTGTAGGAGGCCAGATTTGCTCCCTTGATGCTGTCATTTTGTCCACATGAAAATATTTGTTACTTTGGGAGGTATGATCGGATAGCAGGAAAGTGCTCATCCTATCACACTAGAAAATGTCACTTTGCAGGAAAACATTTCTTTTAAAGCAACCCTTCCGTCTTTTGGGGAACTGCTCCAGCCTTACCCTGAAAAGTAGTAGCCTGGGCATGGATCAGACTTGGGCTGGAGTCCAATTCTCCATATGTCGTGTGAAATATATGGTACCAGAGTCCAAAAGCAGTCCAGAATGTAGTCTATTTCCCCATGTGATTACACCCACATATCTACAACTGAATGCAATTTAACTAATTGGGTGTTGGCTGTATCTTTTGTTATTGTGCTTTACTTGTGTTTTTAAAACTTTTTTATTATGTTTTAATTATGACTTTGTATTTAGTAGTACTGTATTTTCTTGTTATCAGTTTTTAATTCCTCAATTGTGCAGAAATTAAGGGAAAATATAAATAACTCTTGTATTTAACTGTGTGAGCAGAAGTAAAAGTTGTTTCAGACTGTGTTAGGCTTGATGTCCATCTAGGTCTGTATTACATGTTCTTAATGACACCATCACATTACCTTGCTTGATTCTTTTCACTGGTAATGCCAGGAATTGACCCTGAGACTTTCTACATGCAAAGCATGAACCTTCTGCAGACTGTGCTCCCTCCACCTTTTATGTCACCTTGCATCTCAGTTCCCATGTACTACCTGGGAATGTAACATACTTACAAACTCATGTGCAACAGAATTGCTCACAGGAATTGCCATGGGAATTTAATGTGTTTATTACTATTTTCACTCAGTTGTCTCAGTGGCAAAAAAATCACATAAGCACATTTAGATTGAGTCAAGTGGACCAGATATGAAGTATTGTGAACAGTGGATCAGATATTAAATACTGTACTGTTAGTGTTCTGGTTGAAATATGGAAGTTAATTTGTTCCTTTTTACATTTAAAAGACAGCAGAGAAGAATCTGTTCTTGGAAGTATACCACTGCCTAGCTATGTAATATCACCAGTTGGACCTGAAGATCACATAAATCGCAAGTTCTCCTTTAAGGTACTTTAAGCAATTAAAATATATGATTTACATCAGGTAGCAAATTTGCCATGATTCTATAAATATACTGGCTACTGGAATATTATTCCAGTTTGAAGTGTGAGGGTTTTGTGGAAATAGATGAGCTTCTCCTTGTATTCCCTGAAAAGCTGCCCCATTAGCCTTTCATTTTTATGTAGGCCTTTATATTTTCTTGAGTTATGCCCTAGAATAGTTGGTCATGAAACCAACCACAGGGGAAGCAGCTTTGAAACGAATCTGAAGGAGCAGATTACATGACATAATTTTTTTTAAAAATGTTGTGGCCATGAGCTAGACTAGCTTAATTTGTTGATCTATGTGCACTAGAGCAGAGATTGTCAACCCCCAGTCCGCAGCACGGTGCTGGTCCGTGGCCTGAGCTGGACCAGGCCAAGGAGATAGACCTCCCATCCCCCCTGTACACACTCCCCTCCCCACAGCTGCTTTGTACATGCACATGCATGCCAACACCAGTGTGAATGCTCCCCCACTCCTTCATGCATGCATCCATGCACCCGCGTGAAGGTGTGTGTGGGCGTGCGTGCGTGCGTGCATGCAGGTGCTCCCGTGCACGCGTGGACTCCCCCACTACTTTGTGCATGCACCCAAGAGCACACCCATGCAAGTGCATGGGGGTGCCCCACCTTCCTCAGAGGCTCAGCCAGTCCGCTGTCCCAAAAAGGTTGGGGACCGTTGCACTAGAGGGCTGTTACATTCCCTTTTCAAGCAACATCTCCTGCCCATTCGTACCCCCTGTTTACAGATCCTTGAGGAATAGCAATCTGTAAGGTATGTAGGTCTGTTAGACTTCCCATGGAGAACTGTTTTCTTCTTGCACATACTGTGGGACTAATTGGATCCCATATCTTGATTTCATAAAATAATCATTGTTGGTTTAACTGAATTTGTACAACCATTTTAACATGTTGTTGGAATTTGGGGCTTTCAATGTGCTAAGTTCTTCTTATTTGATATTTGCATGCCTAATCAGATACATGTAATTCTGAATTTTATAAGTGCTGTGCATGACAAGAGATGATAGCAAAGTGCAAGATCTTTTATTGTAAGTGACAAATATATACAAAGGTTTCCTTGTGTAAGAACTAATGTAGATCAAATTAGTTTATATAATGATCTATTAATTGATGTTTCATTGACAGTATGGCCAAGATTAGAAGCTTGCATATTAACATTTACAGTCAGAAAAACAGTTCTTTGTAGTATCTGTGATTCACACATGTGGGGTCTTGCACCTGTGCAGAGCTATGGCCAGAATATTCTGGAGGAGAATAATTTTTGAAGGGAATCCCACTCTCACTCCTTATGCATGCTTAGTTAAACCTCAGCTGTACCTGCTCAGTCCTATTCACTCTCCCGCCAGACTGATATACTTCAGATCATGCTTCGTTTGTTTATTTTTTTTTTAGTATAGTTCCCCAAGCTTCAGCTGAGAACTACCTCCATACAATTTTTTTAAATGTAGAATAAAGGCTGCTTTGTGTGTTTCATATTAACAAAGTATACATGCACATGCACATGTGCACACACACACACTCTCACACACATAGAGGTTTCTGGATATGAAAATAAGTTTGATAATGGAAGCTCCTTAAAGGAAATATGAATACATCTGCATCACATGCAAAATCCTGCAGGTAAAGAAATTGGGTTTTAAAAATTGTGTCTGTATACATCTATCAAATTGGGACTTTATTTTCAGTAAATATTTCATGTCATTAATGAGTTTGTGGAAATATCTAATTGATACCTTCCAAGGCAATGGGTATGAGGTAAAACGTGCAACAGAATGGGTCAGAATGGGAACTTCTTAATAAAAACTGATGCCAAGAACAGTGGGATGAGCTGGACAGACATCCAAACAATATTTTAGACGGTTGTTGTGGGTTTTTCAGGCTTCTTGGCCATGTTCTGAAGGTGGTTTTTCCTAACGTTTCGCCAGTCTCGTGGCCGGCATCTTCAGAGGACAGCAAACTGTGCTCTGGTGTAGTTGGCTAGGTCGTGGAGTATTTATGGCTGTGAGATGGGATGATTCGTGTGTATTGTTGTGGGTGTATTGTTTTCTGTGAATGGGTGATTAGTGTGTTTTGTTGTGGGTGTATTGTTATGATAAGGAGATTATCTGTCACTGTGGTTGATGGTAGTGATGACTGGCGAAACATTAGGAAAAACCACCTTCAGAACACGGCCAAGAAGCCCGAAAAACCCACAACAACCATTAGATCCCGGCCGTGAAAGCCTTCGTAAATACAATATTTTAGACCTCAAGCCCAATGAGTATTCCTCTTTCATTAAGCCTTTGTTGCCCCCAAACCTTCTGGAATGGAACACAATGGCCTGGTCTGGCAACTTCTGAATAGGATAACCCAACCAAATTCACAACACATATGTGACTAGATGAGATGCAGCAAGCCACGCATCTAAAGGAACCACATCCCAATACCCTTTCTGGGCATAAAATACATATTGCAAGAAACAGTCTGGAACAGTGATTTTTGAGTAGGCCTGCCCAACCAAATGCACCCATCCCTTCTGCCTGGAGGAACTTATGCAGTTTACCAAGTTATTAAACCATTTATTAAAAATGGTCTGAAGCTCAACATCAAAAAAAACTAAGATCATGGCCACAAGTCCCATCACCTCCTGGCAAGTAGAAGGGGAAGCTATGGAGGCAGTGACAGGTTTTACTTTCTTGGGCTCCATGATCACTGCAGATGGTGACAGCAGCCACGAAATTAAAAGATGCCTGCTTCTTGGGAGGAAAGCAATGACAGCATTTTAAAAAGCAGAGACATCACCTTGCCAACAAAAGTCCGAATAGTCAAAGCTATGCTTTTTCCTGTAGTGATGTATGGAAGCGAGAGCTGGACTATAAAGAAAGCTCACTGCCGAAAAATTGATGCTTTTGAATTGTGGTGCTGGAGGAGGCTCTTGAGAGTACCATTTCTGGACTGCAAGGAGAACAAACTTATCCATTTTGCGGGGAAATCAACCCCGAGTGCTCACTGGAAGGACAGATCCTGAAGCTGAGGCTCCAATACTTTGGCCAATTCACAAGAAGAGAATATTCCCTGGAAAAGACCCTGATGTTGGGAAAGTGAGAGGGCAAGAGGAGAAGGGGACGACAGAAGACGAGATGGTTGGACAGGGTCATCGAAGTTACCAACATGAATTTGACCCAACTGCGGGAGGCAGTGGAAGACAGGAGGGCCTGGCGTGCTCTGGTCCCTGGGGTCACGAAGAGTGAGACACGACTAAACAACAATCATTAGAAAATATGCAGATACAATCTGTGTTTCTATTTGTGGACTGTGGTTCCTATGGAATGTCAGTGACTTGATGTATTGCTATCATCAAGTCAGGCTATTTCTAAAAAATAGAAATTGGACCCAGAAAATGTCCCAGAATGTGGTTCCTGGGCTGTTTTGTAGCTTGATAGATCAGTCCCTTCTAGTCCAATGAGAGGATGAATGTCATCATGCTGTCAAACTTGGAAGTTGCTATTCTGGGCAGACTTTTAAGTTTCCTGCTTAAATACTTGAATGTGTTTCCTGAGAATGTTTTTGTAGTTTGGTGTATCATTCCTTTCTCATCTGACTGGAAAGGTGAATATTAGACATGGGATATTCATATTCGTCTACCAGGGGAGACGAATATGAATATAGGCATCACAGGTACCTGGGCCATTTGAACCCTCCTCCCCAGAACTGGCTGGTCCACTGACTGCTTTCTGTGCAATGTGCATGGCTGTCGTTGTTGGCAATGTGCCAATCTTGGAAGTAGCCTGGCTGGTGCTTCCCCGCCTTCCTACACAGCTGTCCTACTCTGGTGAGGGGACAGGATGACGATTCTCCCCACAAAATAGGCACAATGTGTTTTAATTTTAATTGCATTTTAGTTATATAATTGAATTTAATTACATTTTAATGTTTGCAATTTTATCATATTATAATCTTTTACTGTTTCAAACTATTCTGCAAGCTTTCTTGGGTACCATTTCTGGAGAACGGCAGCATATAAATAAAGACATACATGCATAAGTACATAAATAACTACAGAGAATGGTTTTCCCATTTCTTCTCGAGTATTGTCATTCAGAACTACTGTAGCTTCATCCCTGTTAGTTTTCAAATTCCACAGACTTGCACTAGAAGAATTAGGAAGATGGACATTTTAGATAGTGAGTTCTGATAAAAGTTTCATGAAAATTAATAAATATGTCTGCTTTTGAGGGTATGGTCAGAAACTTTTTCTGTGAATTATTTAGGATTCCTGCTCTTTTAACTTGTTCAACTTTTTGTCCTTGTTTTGTTCTTACTGGTATGCTCTTGGGTTTGTTCTCCATTTCTCCTTCTGTGCATTGTGAGAAAGAGCCTGCCTATCCTTCTCCCTTTTTCCAGCATAAGGGCATCTGAATGCATGAATAGGTACCAATATTATTTTTTCATCCCTTTGTCAATGTGTTTGTGTTGTCCTTTAGACAGTTGTGCTCTAGAAATACTTAGTCATAATTTAAGACTTCACAAAATATGTCTGTGTTTTCCTATCACTAATTGTCCTCATACAATCATATGTGTTGCCGTTTGCTTGGTGTGCTGCTGAGAGATAACTGGGTTATATTTGAACAGTACTGTTTTATTTAATCACTTATACGTGCTAGAAATAGCCTTGCAGTGGCAGGGATTTGTAGATAATGCTGCATTCATTGCCTGCTCAGATATTAAGTATGCTTTTTTCAGCTGCTGAATGTGGACAAGTGCAATTTTCTGCCTGCTACCATTTAATTAGATTATTAATGCAACAGTGTTTTGTAGCTGCTTCTGCTTTTATAGTAAGATTGCTTCTAACTGTCCCATGATAACTTTCTGGAAGGGAACGCAATGGTAAAATGGAGAGGTTCAGTCTATCTCCTGTTGTTCATATTAAAATACAGAGCAGAAACAGTAGAGCAACAATCCTCC